TTTCTGTGAATGTGATTTGATTCTGTGCTTTTGCTTTCGTTGACACCGAATTTCTCCACCACCACACGGCTTTGAATAGATGCGTCTGCTATCACTGACACTTGCAACTGTCTTAACGATGGCTGGAGTGCATTGATTTGGACACAAGGCATGCATGATAGTAGTAGTAGTATGACGTTCTTGGGAGTCGCAATATTCCATTTACCTGCCCATTTTCACTTCAACATTGTCTTGTACGTACCTTTGCAGAAATTTGTCGACTTTCTCAGATCTGGTCCAAGAAATGCTGTTTTATCTACTTTAAGTGTTACTCTTTAGCAAAGAAAATAGGAGGTGAGCATTTTATCGTTTAGGTATGGCATACAGACACATCAACAACAAATCCTGTTCGCACGCTCTCTGGTCACCGTCGCGGCATCGCTTGCCTGCAGTACCGTGCGCCTTATGTCGTATCGGGCTCCTCCGACTTCACCATCCGCATATGGGCCATCGAGACTGGTGTTTGCTTCCGCGTTCTTGAGGGTCACGACGAACTCGTGCGTTGCATCCGATTTGACAACAAACGTATTGTCTCTGGAGCCTATGATGGGTGAGATTTTACTTTTCTCTACTCCCTTTCCCTTACTTCTTTGATGGTCTTTGAAGAATACGCTAAAAAGGCTGACAACCAACCTTGCGTTTCGTGTTAGTAATTTTAGAGGTACTTATAGGGTGAGACGGGAGGAGTTAAGCTGCAGGCACCATAACTCAAAGTTGCCTTTTCTTTATGGTTTCGGGATGAGCATTTGATCCCTCACTGTTTGTATTTTTTTACTCGTATTGCTCACGTCTCTAGCTTGTAGCCTGTCTGTATTCTACATGCTTTCACAAAGTTACCGGTTCGAAAATTGTCCACTATCCGCAACGGATGAATCTTTTATTTGTCATGAAGGATCGTACTGACACGTCATGTGCATTGCTCTCTCATACCTCATTGCCATTCACTTAACATTGTTAGATTTGGCGACCAACAAGAAACGATAAATAGTAAAGGTGTGAGCCAATGGATGCGTACCTCCGACTCGTTTACTCGTAATTGTTGTATTGAGAAATTTGCTTTGGCTTTCAGATCTCTCACGCGATTACTCAATCGGTTGTTGTCGCCTGGCCTAAAACCGTCTGCAAGTACAAGAGCCGTCACACAAACCTTAAGCTCAATCAGCCTGTAGTAAAAGCACAGTTGGAGCAGTGTATCGAAGTGAGGAGATGCACGCTTCCCGTATGTACTCCTGTCACTCATTTGAAAGGTCTGAGAATTGGGTGGGAGGTGGAGTGGCTTCAGAAACAAAATTCTTAGACCATGTTGTTTTGTTCCCTTCTTTTTTTACGAAGTTGCTGTCTGATCAATTAGTGGCTGCCCAATTAACACGCTTTGACCTTTGCTTTTGAGAAACAGCCGGGACTGAATGGAGGATGGTACCTCTGCTCGGAGTCTTTGGCACTAATTGAAATTTCTAATACGTTCACTTGATGAACTGCAGAATGAAATCGACTCTCTCTCACCAATGCTTTATTTTTCACCTACGTTTAAATCCTGCTTTCATATCCCATCGCGTACAACCAGTCTGCACAAACTAACCTGACCTCGGAAAGGCGAATTTGCCTGGCACCTAAGGCTAATTGTATAGGGGCTAGTTGATTTTCACTTTTTCCCACATTCAGCGATTGGGCTCGGCTCCTGGAATATTTTAGTCTTTTCTCCACCCCTACTTTGTACGGAACCGCTATGACATCTGACGTGTGAGCGTGCACGCACGCATACATTAGACACGTTCTTTTCCTCACGTTTTCTTTTTGACTTTAGTAATTAATGTTCCTCCCCTCCACCGTCTGAACGAGCTTGTTTTGCTTTGTTCAACTGTTCCCACACGTATTATTTACTGGGTTAAGATTGGGTGCTTTGAAGTGAAGTTACCGTCACCACAGCATAGGCACAACACCCACTTTCTTGTACCTTCCCTTGCATGAGGCACATGGAAGTTAGGCGACATTCCTCCTCGTGATGGTCCATGATGAGATTAGTGTCTTAGCTCCAAATATGTCTACCTCTGTTGTGATGGGGTCGGGAAGTGGTGGGATAGGAGATACTGGTCTGCTTGTCGAATCCGTTGGTGCCATAAACTACCGGCAAGATTCATGCGTAATCCTTATTGTGGCGCTGATAATGATCCCTTATTGTCTGGATTCCACTCAGCATCCTGTGATTCTGAGAGAAGGTAGAGTTGTTTGTTCGATTGCGTAAGGGTGGGCGCTAGCCTTTGGTGTCTCAACAGGCAAGTTTGAGCACGCGTGCGTGTGTTTGCTCTTCGTTGCCCGGCTAACGCGTGTGGGTCAATGTTGGGCGTACCGTCCCATTTTCAGATTGGAGAGATGGTGGTTTTAACCTGCTCTGGTTGTCATTTCTTCCTAGCAAAATTAAGATTTGGGACTTCAAGGCGGCGCTGAATCCTCGATCTCGAACGAATCAGTTGTGTATCAAGACCCTGCACGAGCACACTGGTCGCGTGTTTCGTCTCCAGTTTGATGATTTCCAAATTGTCTCCTCATCTCACGATGACTCCATCCTCATTTGGGACTTTACCCACGTGGATCCCGGCTCAGCAAACAATCAAGATGACGAAACTGGGATGGGGGAGAATGATGACGGTTTCTTCAATGAGGAGGCGGTTGCTGCGGCTGCCGGAGCGATCCCAAACCTGTCCAATTTGCGCCAAATACGAATCATCCAACCGCGCTCACCTCAGGCAACCAACAGGCCTACAGCAATTACTACTTTAACTGCTGCTGCCATTGCTTCTGCGGGCACATCTGCTGGTGATGCTCTTGTTACTTCTCAGGCTGTCAATCAAGAAGTACTCGCACCACCCTCCTCATCCTCCGCCTCCTCCACCGTCACAGCCACAAATCCTACTCTACCTCCCCACTCCTACTCCCCCGCTTCACGTCGTCAAAATTGAGGCGTGAACACGTAACTTCATTGAATCCATTTATCTCCTTTAACGCTCGCCTTTTTTATGCATTTTGACTAGCCGCGTTTCTTCGGCCACCCATTTATCCGCTTCACTTTTTTCTCCTAAGGCGGCATCTGTATCCTGGAGCAGATGTGCACTGTTATTGTTCTGTCTCTTGTGTCATCTTTCCTACCATCGCCCTATCCGATAGTTGCTGGAAGAAATGCAGGTGCGGGAAGAGGTTGGTTTTTTCGTTCCTCTTCCCTTAACCTCTCTCCCTCTCGCTACTTGTCGTGTTAGATTTTAAGCACTCATATATGTAACACAGTCGTGAATCCTCATTTAAATGCCTTAATTTGCGCATTGGATTGTGTTTTGCTTTCTGTTGGTAATCAGTTTTAGCGTGGTTGGTTGCAATTGCTTGAAAAACTGATAAAAGCGCATTTGTGGTCTTATTTGGTTGTTTGTTTAGTCAATTGTTTGGCGATTTTCTAGTTTGTTTTCATCGAAGATTGGCTGATCGACCGAAAAGGAGGAGTGAGTTTCACGCAAGAATTTGGGTGGAACTGAAAATCCATTTCACCACCGTTGTTGCGGCTTGACTAGGGAGTTTAGCATCCGCTTTTGTCACGAACTGCGAGCCTCGTTGCCCTCTGAATCACCCTTGGCTGAATTTTACGCCTGGGAGTGGCTTGCATTTGCGCACTGGGGGTTTGGAGGTTAGAGTGGAAATGTGAATTGCTAGGTTTACTGAGTAAAAAATACGATTAAGTCGTCTATGTAGCCTTCTGGTTTGGATCGTAGTTCCCAGTCCTTCGAGTGAGTCTCTTCTATTTAAGTCATCAAATTTTTCGTCTTCAAAAATTGGTGGATCGCGAGACGGAAGAAGATATGATGTGCTTAGTTTCTTGCTACTGGCTGTGCATGCTGTGAGCTTGATTTAGGATGTCACGCTCTTTTCATGACAAATCGCACCCAGAAAGGATGCGTAGACGTGATCACTTTTTACGGTATTGAAATGCCTAACGTCACCCACTTTTTGGTCCAAAAGAAATATTAAGATAACTGAGTCAATTTATTCCTCTTAATTTTTAAAGCAGTAGTGGAATGTGGATTCTTTGGGGTAAACTACGATAGTCAAGTCATAGACTGCACCAGTGCGAAAGCAAGGGGAAGGACTGCATCACCAGAATCGGCTCTGAACACTTATGTCATTGGCAGCTGACGCAAATGATAGGCATCAAGGTAGCGAATTACCGTCTAGACGCACCTTGAAAATCCCCCTTAATGGTGGCGAACATCCGGTAAAATTAATGACTATCCGAGTCCCTTCTAAGGTGGCAACTACCATTTGACGGGCAGATGAGTCACCGCCACCACCTACAAGATCATGTCAGAGACCAAATTAATCACCTACAAAAAGGAAAAGGTGAGGACTGTCAGGAAGTCTCCTAAGACTGGTCAAATAAAGGGCAAGATGTGGCTCCACGAATGATTCCTCCGCCTCGTTTAGCAGAATTGCATTCCAGGACTGCCCATACAGAAGAGTCTCGACACGCTACATTCGCAGCATCGTTCGGAAAGGACGATGAAAATCTCAGTTCTGTGTTCAACAAAAGGGCTGCGAACTCCAAAAACTTCCCCACTTAGCAGTCCACCATGCCTGCATAGGGATGCCATTGAGGTGGGTACACGACATCGTCACCATACCAGCAGGATAGAACTCGAGTGAACATGGCTTAGTGGCAGCAAAATGGGAACAATATGACGAGGAAGAATAAGTGCGAAATCCTGTCTCTATTGCGATTTTTATGAACATCATTCTGGATCAAATGTCTCAGCTCAAGATTGATGTTGAGGTCACCAGATGACCTCGTTAGTGGTCTCAGGAGATATACTGCTGGTGTGGCTGGAAAGCCATGCTGGCGAGAGGGAGTATAATCTAAGGAAAAACCAAGGCACTGCTTAGTTCATCACTTCTGTTAGGCACCGTCTTCGACACTGCCCGTGGTCGGCCACCCACTTCGGTCACCATTAACCCGCTAAGCTGTTCGCAAGCACCAATGGGTTCTAGCAATTTCAATGCATCTGGGTCCATCGTAAAAATTGCATTAAGAGAGAAGACGTTATCCGGACACCACTGTAGGAGAGCGAATAGCACCTTGAGAGACAATGGACAATGTGTCTGCTACCATGCAGAGCCTGGAATCCAGCAGTCGGACTTGTCTCCATCCTCAGATCTTAAATTGACAAAGTTGAACCTTACTAGGTTATTGCTCTACTTTCAGCAACTTGTTAACTTCATATCGTGGCGATCACGCGATGTCGTGCAAACTGAAAACTGGAAACAGCAGTAAGTGCTAAGTAAATTGTCCTAGTTTTGGCATAACGGCCTTCGATTTGGCAGTTGTTATGGTTACCAGCAGCGATGGAAGATGGCCCTGTGCTGCACAACTTTGATTCCTAGACACAGAGTGGAGTTACAAACCGTAGTTACAGACAAATGTCAACCCTCAGCGTCCTCATGCGCATGCTTTTTAGAAGGGCAAAGGGATGTGATCAGTCTCGAATAGCAGCACTCCCTCCCACAAAACATGGAACACTCATCATCAAAATCAACCCAGGTTGTCTGGTGATTGTCTGGTGAAGTCAATTTTAAATGCCTTGCTGGGGCGTAAGCCGAACGACTGACCGCTACCCATGAAAATAAACTCTAAATTTGTGTGCTAAAAATCCTCCAAAAATGGCACCATGCAAAAGTCGTGCAATTCTGCCAAGTGGCGTGGCCTAAATATGCACTTCAACACTGAGGTGATGGAATAAGAAACATCCCAGCTAGCCGCGTAAATGCAATGCCACTTGAACTTGAATAGGCTTAGCAAGCAAGCATTTAGCGTCAGTACCTTTGAAAGGGAAGAACCCAAAACATGGCAATGAAGTCAGCTATGTAGCAGCGTTTCCGCCTCCACTCCCTCCCCCCTCCCCACCCCATTCCACAACCACTCCAAGCCGCGCAAATACGAAACAAGATTCTCACACTAAAAACAAATCCCATTCACAGTCCGGAAAAAACAACCCAAAGCCTGACATCACAACTCATATTCTCTCACATCCTTTACATTTATGCTTTGTACAATTTCAAGGCTCCTACTCCCAACGCAGCCGTCTGCCTAAATCGTGCAAAAAAAACGTATTTAGCAAAGTCTCTATGCCGACGATCACATGTCACACAGCCCACAGCCCACCGCGTCAACGCACAAAAACCTATACCCTGAACATGACACACTCTGGACAAAAGACCACCCACAACGACACCCTGACAAAACAACACTGTGACAACATAGTGTAACTTAATCGCTAAACAAAAGCACAACAATTACCCTACGTATTGGCATTCCCATCTCTAGTTCCACTAAACAGACTTCCACTTACCTACCGACGAATGACCTAGAACCGCCTCCCACCTTCTTCGGTTTCGTCGTTAACACCGGCGGCCCTTGTACGACCTCATTGAACGCCACCTCATCCTTAAGGTGTTCGAAACCAGTCAAATGCTTCTCCATTCTAAACGCCTTCTTCCTTGCTTTCTTCATCGCTAAACGCCTAAACAAACGCACGCTCTCCTTATCAAAAAGTCAAAGTAGTCAACTTTCCACGATACAACTTACTTTAATGCTCTTCTGGCCTTTTCTGACTTGTACGTTTCAGGGTCGACGAGAGGAGCCTGGTATGTGAATGAATTGAGACGAATGATTAAATACCTTGTCAGCCTTTTCTATAGCTATCCTCATCAACTCGTCCTGCACACAGCTATCCAGGCGCCGTGCGTAGCTTTCAGGCGTCTCATTCTCGCCTTGTTTAGGAATCACGTCAGGTTTCTTGAGCATGTTTCCTGTATCACTCTTTTCTTGAAATGCAATTTTATTAAACCAGAACTGGAATAAGAAATACTTGAGCTGTATCGATGTGGGTTCCGACTAAATTTACTTTCATTTATGCGTCCTATCATTTCAAGGAAGCTCGAGGGAGGCCTCTGTTCATCGTCGCTCAGGGGATCATCGTCCAACCCAGAGTCTCTGATAAATAAACTAGTAGTTGGGTACCAAAACCTACAACGCATTGCTCCAAAGTTGGGGATCAACCTCTTTGATCTTCCTTTGTTTACGCGATTTCAAACGCCTTGTGTAGAGAATGGGTTTAATCCCTGCAGGTTTATTGCGTTTGATTTCTCGCTTCAGCTGTGTGCTCTTAATACCTTGTCGCCTGGCTAAACGGCATAAGTATGCTCCTAAACAACTTACAACGTTTTTTTGTCGATTTCTTCATTGCAGCATATCAGGTTAATTTCCCTAATGTCACTCTGAAAGAGAGTGGAGAAACATGCAATTCTTACACAGGGATAATGCAAAAACTATAAGCATGCATAGCGTGCTGCAATTCTATAGGCGAAGGCGACATCAAAAGCCAGGTTACATTAACAGTTAATATCAACCCTTTGATGATAAAATAAAACATTTCCACATTTGTTATTGGCATAAATTACAACTGTGGACCTTAATAACGACAAAAAATGAAAAGAGGCAAGTCGCCTACACTAGCACGTATCGTATAAAATGCAGATCATTCCAACACCGCAATGGCCAATTAAAAAGCAGCGTTCAAGGAACCAGTCATAAACAAATACTAGAGAGCTAACAAGAGGTTTCAGATTAGGCAGACACACTCCAAAGTGTTAGATTTTCGAGGAAAATATCCATGTTATTATAAAAAATTTGATAAATATGTTAAAGGGATGGTGCAGATCTGCAACTATGAGATTTCGTCAGGGAAATAATTACTATTTTTATAGACTCAGAAGAAAAGGAAGCTCACTTACCTGATAGCCTTTAAAACCAGCATCTCTGTTTATGGCTTTTGTAACCGTTTTATCATCTCCAACTTATTCTGTAGTCGTCCATGTGGACGGCAACAAGTTCGGCAATTATTAGGACTGATTTGTAGTGTTCTGAGGCTTCCTATTTGGCCAAAGCTGAGGTTATAAGGGATAAATATGTGGTTTTAAAAAATGAGGGAGGTTCGTCCTAGTCTTGCTTCGCATTCCAGTCAGTCGGTGTGGACGAATGCGAAAGATCATGAGTTCACCGCACTGATACTTTGTTGCGGACAAGCAGGGAAATATACTTTATGAGATGAATGATTAACGTAGTTGCTATCTTATTAAACGCGTTTGAAATATGTGATTTAATTGCACTGAGCTGCTTGAATTACGATAACAATTCGTAGTTTTTAAACACCGCCGTCATTGGATTCATTCCCATTACCATTAATGATTAAACACACAACTCATCAGAATTGGAAAAGGTCAGTCTCTGTTATGCATCATTTTGTCACACACAAATTATTGCACCTATCGTTATTATGTTTCACGTGGTATCTATAATAGCCTATATTTAAGTTCTATTAAAGCCTCCAGTGAGAATACATGTCATACTATCTTCATAATGGATACTGCGCTGCTTAAAAAGTAACTTGGTGGGCAAATATAGGCCAAAAAAATTAACAAAAATTGTGTCAGGCTTTGTGTATTCGTGTACCTCTGGAATCGATAATTTCTTTGACTTTTGCCTTGCTCTTGTTGACTCGAGGTACCCTTCCCCTTAAACACTTCAACTATATTTGGACCCTTTATACCTAACAGCTGTAATTAAAGAGCAAACCGGTACTACCTCTGGACTGTCGTAGGCACCAATCTTACAAAATGCCTATAAAGAATCGCAAAAAGTAAGTTGCCTCCTGAAATTTAAATTTGGGAATGCGTCAAATGGTAGCAATGGAAGTGCCATGATTGGTGCTGTACCGCCTCAAGATTTCCCACCAGATAGAAGGCATCAAGTTGGCCAACCAACACCCACAAGAGACAGACAAATTAATGACTACTTGGAGTCGTTTGGATGTTTCGAGACGCTAAAGTGGTGGCAGTGGAAAGCGGAGCCGACTTGTTTCAACCGCTATCATCATAGAGCCAACCGTTTGTACCACCTTCCAACCTGTGAAGAAGGCACACTCATATCAGGGTGGGAGAATCGCCGAATACCTCACAAATGACAGGTTGAGAACGACGTCTGTGTTTGTCTCCATCCTGCCTCCGTGCTCCAATGACAAGCTGGTAACTAATGAAGCGATACCACCATGAGTCACTAACACATTCGTGTCCGAACTCCCTCTACTACATCCGATCATTGGTGTTGAGTACCGTACCACACATCTGTCTTAGACCAGAGTCCTGTCGTCGAGTCCCGAAAGCAGGTAGTGATAGACAGATGTATGCGATCTCGTTTCTGGTTGTTTGACCGAGCGTACGTTTAGGTCCAGTGGAAGGCGTTGAGGAGACATAGCACTATTCGCCAGTCCCATGGTAAGTGTTGGCAGTCGTAGCGAGCTCGTGGGTACTTTGTTGCAGTAGCGATTATGTTGTTATGGTTGGCGTTGAAGACGTCACGCAAAACAAGAGAGTGCAGTGTAGTACTGTCTGTATCGTCTTGAGACTTCCTAGCCGATATAAGAGGTTAGTAAGTGCAGGTGGATACATGCGTTCCGAAGACGGGAGGACAAATGGACCTCGGCATGGCCAGAAGGCCAGCCCACGTGTACAAGGGTCAGACAAATCCCAAATTGACCACCAAACGTTAGATAGTCACATAACCGAAGGATCACAACGTCTTTGTGACCACCTGATGTTTGGTGGTTACATAACCATTCGTCTGAATCTTGTACGCGTGAGGTGGCCTTCTGACCGAGCTCAGAATTAGTTTATTTGCTGTTCTTAGAATGCATACATTCAGATCCACTTGATGCCTTAGTCTACACGGTGGCAATTCTTAATAAGCTCAAATTATAATTCCAAACTTCATAAAACTGGTGTTGAATAAACTCTATCAAAGCTATTTTTCTTACAAGCTGGGTTTTTGCATCATTTGGTTTATTGTAGCTAGAATCATATTTGACTTATTCGCTGTTTTATATATGCCAATCAAGTAGGGCATTTGCCTTTAGCTGCAAATAAGAGTTTTTGTAATCTTTAAAGATGACTGCTGGCAGAACAAATGGTGATTTGCAAGCAAAACGAATATCTAACAGGCTTAAATTGAATTAGTGATAACCCTAACGAAATACCTCCTCTACGATAATCTTTTCGAAGAAACTTGATGTATATCAATTCATCAGTGTAACTAGCCTTCTGCTGTGCCAGTTTGCTGTCTAATTAAATTGTAGTTCTATTAAGCAATGTCTCTTCGGCTAAAATTGTTTAAATGATTATGATTCGCAACACTTTTAACATTCTCTCTTTGTCGACGACATCTTGAGCCTCAAATGAATGTGGAGCGTTCTGGTCCTTCGGCATCATCAAAGAGTAAGTTAGGTTTTTGCGATCTGTACTATCCTAGGTGTGTACCAAATAAACAAGCTCTCTTAGTGTCTAACTTTCTATGACTTTCAGATATAAGCCTCACGTAATGCCAGTTGGAATGCCTCTTGCATGCTTCTGTGTAGTTTTTGCACTGCCGATTGTATTGGTGTTTATTGTGGCTTGCTGTACCTTGTACTTAAAGTGCGTATGATAAGATGCTTTCTTTCGTTCAACTGAATAATTTTTTGCTGATATGGAGCCACTTAGGGAGATAAATCGACGAACACTTTTCCTTTGAATGCTATTAATGATTAAGACCCATGCATTCTCTATAGCCTTTCAGGTTTGTGATACTAACCTATGTATGTTAGTTTTTGTATACCTTGTTGGTTTTTGACCGTGGTGTTAGACATGCATTCCTTGCGTGAATGATCAGTGTGGCCTTAACACTTTGTGGACTTAATCTAGACTTCAAAGGTATTATTCTGCTCTGAATTAGGAATTTTGGAGGCATATTAAATCGAAAAAAATGCAAACGGTAATGTGTTTATTTGTTAATGACTAGCTCTTATAGTATTGGTAAGCTGGCTGCTTTGAGTGTTGAAATCAAGCAAAGTTTTGTGATTCGTGTTTCCTAAAGTAGATGTTTTCTGTTTTTTCAGAAGTGGGTCGTGTTTTTTATCAAGAAAATTAAAACAATTTCCTTTTATAAACATTCCTTAAACGGGACTTCAAGTTTTAGCTCTTGTCCTGCCATTGGGGTATGTTTTGATTCCTCACCCCTACACTGAGCTTCTTACATTTCCACTTTTGTCTCCAGCGTGTTTACACGTATGTGACCTCGGTCCTATCTTACGCCAGCATGTATTCGTGTGTTAGACGTTATCTGGTTAATTGTTGGTCCCCTTTCCAGACTAGAAATGTGCGCTGTGCGTAAGCCGATGGTGGTAAATTGCTGAGTTTGGCTGTTCCCTCTGAGCCATTGGCACACCCTTTTTATTCGGATTCGAGTACTTCCGCATTTACCTTTAACTCTCTTGTGTCATAATGTCCTGCTCTTCTGCATTTTTCTCTTAATTTAACCCGAACCATATTGTGATTCGAGATCTTCGTTTTCCACATTCCTTATTAAATTATTGTTTCTTTAACGCACCTTTCCCCTTTATTTTAGCGCCCAAATCTGATGGGAATTCCGATCATGTGAGTTGCGATTTCCCACATCTGCTTTTCTTGTGATCTGACAGAAAGTCATTATTTGTTTCCGTTGTTAGAGCGGATCATCACGTGGACTTTATGCTAACAATCACGAGTAAGTCCCGCCTTTTAATGCCATTATTTGCAGATCAGCAAGTGTGACAATGTCGGAAGTTAGGATTAACCTATGTATATCTTTTTCATTCCAAGCTTTTATATGAACTTGATTAAACAGATTCTGATGGAGTGTTATGCTTTGAGCAAGGTATGTGCAGGTTAAGCTGACTGCTTCGATTAGCCGGCATGCCCATACTCAACCTGTGTTACTTGTACACCTGTTCATTTTTGCCAAAAGCACGTTTGCGTTGTTATATTTGTATCGTCATTAACCTGGGGACCACTTGCCATTAGTGGTTACGTGCCTTTACTGTTTCTTTGAAGAATATCAAAGGACGCTTCGCTTTCGTTTCCAATAAAGCGGAGCACTGCAGCGCTGCAAGAACCACCATCGGTATTTGAGAAATCCCCAGTTTTGGAACGCTCATCGAAAAGACCGCTTGCAAAACAGACTACACCCAGTCCGAAGCGACCTCGTAAAAACTCCGGACATTTGAAAGACGCTAAGACAGAAAAGGTTGGGGATGCTGTCAACATAAAGAAGGATAGGTCAGACGACGAAAGAGGTATGCATCATGCTTTTTAGGATGTCATGTTTTAGGATGTCCTACCAGCATTAAGGTTTCTGTATTGATACAGATGATGCTGTGACTAACGTCCAAAATTCTCCAAAGGACCAACGTCGTTCTCGCAAAAAGAAAAGAAGGGATAAGGAGCGTAAAAGAAGCAGTAAGAAACATTTGGATAAAAAGTCTAATGAGGAGGAAGATGAAGAAAAGGGGGAGAAGGTGATAGTTCGAAGGGATCGTACAAGAAAGATCACGAAATCTCCTATATCGGAGACTCTGGTGGCTGCTTACAGCTCCGATGGAGGCGATGAGTTGCATCAACCCAAACGTACTTCTCCGGCCACTCTTCCCCGCGCCCACGCTGCATCCTCGCCCGTTGTGCACAGTGAGCGCAAAAAAACCTTAACTTCTGCCTCCCCCCCATGCACTACTGTGCCTGCCCCCGTCACTAAGGTGACAAAAGGCACGGCGAAGTCAACTTGGGACTCTAGTGACAGTGACTTTGAGGAGACGATTGCGAAGCCATTAACTTCACCTGCCGTTCAAAAATCCACCAAAACTCCTGAAAGTAGTAGTGGGGTGGAGAAGACACAAAAGAATCGTAGTGTCTCCCGCAAGCGTTCTCATTCACGTGGGCGTTCTCGAACCGTCTCCTCTGACAGCGCATCTTCGTCTTCCTGTTCGTCACGTCGAAGAAGTTATTCCTCTCGATCTTATTCTTCTCGACGGAGGTCCTATTCCACTTCATCTTCAGTCAGCAGCAGTAGTCGTAGTTCCTCCAGATCCTACTCTCGTCGTAGGCGCAGTCGACGCCATGGACGTAGGCGGCATGGTCGTCGTCACCACCGCCGGTCGTCTACTCGTTCTTCCTACTCACGAAGCTCTTACTCCCGTTCATCGAGTAGAGGACACGGAAGTAGGCGACGGCACAGGTACTCACGCAGCAGCGGCTCATACCGAAGAAGGTCATCGTATCGATCCTACTCCTCACACAGTCGCCGGGGTCGCTATACTTCTTCAGAGCGCTCTCGCACGCCAAACTCACGTGACGCTTCACGAACACCGCCTCCTCCGGTGTGTCGTCGGACTGTGAATCAGCGCAACCCCAGCGCCGTTGTTACTGCAGCCGGTGTGGTTAGTCCTACAGAAGCTCGTCTATCCCGACCATTGGGAAATAAGGGCAGTTTCATTCGTGGTCACAAACCCTCCGAAGCGGTTGCAGCGGCGGCTAGTGCAGCTGTTCGAAAGATAACTGGACGGACAGAACCTAGTCCACCATCTACGCCACCAGCGTTACCGAAACTGGAGGAATCAGAAGCCAAGGAGGAGAGTAATGCGGAGGAGGTGGAGCCTACAAAAGAACTTGATTCAAATTATATAGGTCCGCAGGTGAGTGTCTGGGAATGTTGGGGTTGTGTTTATTCATGGTTTGAGACTTGGTGTAAACCCGGAATTTGCTTATTCGCTTTAGGTACCTCCGGATATGGCTAAAAAGCTGGGTTTGAGTGTGGACTCTCCACCACCGTCGAAGTCGACCAACTCTACCACACCATCTGGCAACAATGCTGGCAGTAATGGTAATAACAACTGGAAGGCTCATGTCGGAGCTAAGAGGAAATCTGAGAGGGTAGTTAGTGAGGGCCCGAAGAGGCAGGAGGAGAACAAGTCAGATTTTATGACTCCTCCTGAAAAAGATGACCAATATAAAGGTACGCTTACCGCATGTTGCGGACGTGTTTCGTAATCGCTGTGTTGACTTGTGGCTTGGTCTAAGTTTCATTGTCATACACCTGGATGGGTGATCTAATGTACTCTTCCTGTTGTTACAGCTCTGCAAGAACAAGCCAAGGAACATGTACGTCAACAAATGCAGCTCCAAGCGAACCAGCAGCAGCAACTTGCTGCCGCGGCAGCTGCCGTTGCCTCTGCGGCTGCCGTCCAACCAGCAACTACGGGGTCGGTTGCCATGCTGCCCACTGCGGTCGGCCATTTCTCTGTGGTCGAGCAGTTGAGGCAGAGGCAGCAAATCTACCTCCTATCAGGAGCTATGGACCAAGCATTAGCCTTAGAGAATATCATTCGGCAGCATCAGCAAGTTGAGGCCGCCACTGCCTTGCAGCAGCATCAGGTGTGAACTTCCCCAATTTCGGCACAGGCATTAATCGTGGTCGAAAAGCACTCATCAAGCTCTCTTAAAAGATAGTTTAGTCAGTATATGGTTGAGGTCACTGCGATCATTCGTCCTTTTGTATCTCTGGAGTTATCTCCAAGGTTGTACTTTGCTCTAAACTCTTTACGGTGATAACGAATGTGAAGTAGTAGAACTGTACAGTGGAAGTAGTTGGTTTTTCAGTACGACTAACGGAATTTGGTAAAAAGTCGCTTTGAAGTTTTTTGTGAAAAATGTGTAAGGTCTGATGGCATATTCTGGAGTAATTATGCATGAGAGGCACTCTTTGTGAGTTCGTCTGTTAATGAAATTCACTTATTGAATGAGCTCTGCTTTAAGGGTGGATCCGATTAAATGCGTCTCTTTGAATCCGCCCAATATTGCACTTCCACCTACTCCTTTATTCCTCTTGCCTGTGGTTTCGTACAGTCTCCTGCGAGCATCAAACGCCTCTTGTTTGCACTAATGACAGTCTTCAGTCCATGCAGTGCATGTTGCCTTAGTGAGGGCGTCACCTTAACAGCGGTTTTTTACTCTCCCAGGCTTTGCAAATGCTCGCCTTTCAACAACAGCAACAGAGCGCAATCATAGCAGCACAGCAGCAGCAAGTTCAGCAGCATCAGGTTCAATCAGCTCAACAGGCAGCTTTGCTTCTCGCTGCGCAACAGCATCAAGCTGCTGCTGCTGCTGCGGCTTCCCATTCTGACAGCACCGGTGCTGCTGCCGCAGCTGCCATGATCGCGGCTCAGCAACAGCAACAACAACAAGCCATTATTCAGACTATTCTTCAGCAAAGGCAACAACAGGTGTGTTTCTTTAACCTAGTCGTCAGTGCAATACCTAGGATGGTTTGATGCTGTCACTCAATACTTACCAGTCTATATGAGCATTAGGTTTGAGTTGGATGTTTCCTTTTTGTACCGGTGTGAATATTATCTTTCTCTTCTCTCTTTCTTGTTTGCATAATCTCTAACGTCTAGATGACACCAACTGCCAAAAGCGTTTGCTCCTCCTATATGTGCGTTCCCTGAGTATGCGCTCCCCCTGTTATCTGCCATAACCCCTGCATCACTAATGTAACCCTCCACTCAGTCTCCATTCTCTTTCTTCCCGATCCGCCTTTTGTTTTGTTTTGTCCCCCCGACCCTTCTCCACAGTTTATTTTGAACCTTACGTGCTTGCACACTAGCTTTGCTCGCCTAATATTGTCGGAGATCATCCCTCTTTGCTGCAATCTGCAACGCAACGGATAGGTCCGTGTAGCTGAAATGATAATTCCTTGTTTCTAAAGCGTAGACTTGATTCAAATCACTTAGATTAGAAGTGCACCTATCCAAAAGAGAGGTAGATGGTCTACGTTGGCTTCATTATCATCACCATTTTGTTGTTGCATGTGCTTATACTTCAAGTGCGAGTTGTGCTGCCCGTGGTCAATTGGTGTGCTCGGCATGAAAGCTCGTCTGGCGTTGCTCTAATAATCGCCTTGCCATTTATTATTTCTCAGCACTTGTTCGGAGCTCTTCTCTATCTCACACCTACAACTTTCGATATCCTCCCACTTCCTAATCCTTACTCGCTCTCTGTGTGTGTGTCTCCTAGACCTGAACTTCTACGGTTTGGTAAGCTCTGGTGTATATTTAGCCTCTATATTTCATCCATTTTTCGTCCCTCCCCACTCCTCCTCCTTTAAAATCTCTCTCGGACGCCTTCACACTTACCTCTTGCAAAGTTTTAATTGGAGTCTTTCCCGTCAAAAGGGGTTGTGGCTCGTTAGGGTAGTATGGCTTGCAAGTAAGCCAGTGGTGTTGCTCTCTAGTTCCCCTCCCTCCCAATTCGACCCTACATTTGCACTGTGGCATTTTAATTTCGACTGAATGGAGGAACGAGTGAATGAATGCAGATTTGGCATCCTCTAACCACACCCTTTTTACTCATCAGACACCGCATGATATGTTGCGCTCTTCCTACATGAGTGAAACACGCTTTTAATGGAAGTCTTTAAACTTGCTTTTATGTTGTGTGCGTGTATGTACATTCGTTCATGTCACAATTCATGTAACTAGCTTTGTGGTTTATAAACGTCATCGCATATTTTGATCCAAAATTCACTCTCCTTTCGCACTTGTAGCCTTTCAGCCTCACATACTCACTCGTTGAAGTTTGCAGGTAACTGCTTAGTTTGTCCTCCTCTCCTTTTTGTATGTGTTCATTATTTCCCTCCCCTCCTCTCATTCCCCTCGCGTTCTCCTTTTTATTAGATATATATTTGTTCGTATTTGTTAGTGCTACTTCTCCCCTTCTCCCTGCCTCCACATCGGTCTGGTAAAACCGTTTGCACTTCTCCATTTCCCTGCGGCAAATGCCATATTCTTCTCACCCGCTAACTACCGCAAGATATTAATATTTGTTTACCAGGGCAATGGTAAGTTGAGGAAGAATGCGAGCGCATGATTACCCATATTCGGCTTCTCAGATTTACGTCCTTCCTCTATCTCTTTCTTTTGTGCGTGTGTGTGCGTCTAGGCGATATACCCGTAATTGCAATCCTCTTCCTCACTACTATTTTCTCACATATTCCTTCTGGAGTGCCTAAGTGTTCCTTTTCTCCTTTCTCCTCTCCCTTGACGCAAATGAAGGCGCTGGTTGCTGCGGCCCAACAGCAGCAGCAACAACAGATTCAAATGCTCCTGCAAATGAAGGTGCAACAGCAGGCAGCAGCTTATGCCAATGCGGTAGCAGCGTCCTCTGCCGCACCTACTGTAGCGCAATCCAGTGCTGGCGCAGCAGCTGCTGCAGCACCTCCTGTCAGTGTTCCCACGACAACGACGTCAGCCGCGGCAGTGTCCAGTACAAACACGAACGGCGCGCTCTCAGGATCTGAGCCTTCCGCTGGCTCGGATGCCGCTAATCCACAATCTCCCACCATGCTTGCTGCTATGGCCGCGGCACAGAGGAATCAGGCCTTTCAACAAGAGCAGCTGCAGAAACAGCTCAGTGCGGCAGCTATGGTTTCTGCAAGTGTAAGCTTTTAGGATTCCCTCCTTCAATCTCTTGATTGTGCACTATTTAAGCTTTTAATGGAAATCAGCATTCTCGTTAAATTTTCATTACTTTTTATTGCTGTGAATGTGAAATTTACTTTATCTTGAACGAATGATGGGTTTTTGCTTGGTCATATTGACACTCAGGGTGGCTGAAAACGCTTTTATTGGCAAAATGTTGGCAACTGTGGAGGATCTTTGCGGGCTTTTCTGTGTATACCCAATTAGATCCGGAAACTGGTGTATAAGAAGGTTCTGGTAAATCTCGGGTTCGGTTCATCTTTGATGTTGGTCGTACGCTTTAAATCTCACCACTTTAAAGAGTTTCGTGAATCCAACCATTTTTACCCGGTTTGCGACCCTATTTGATCAAACTCTTCGCAATTTATCTTGTTTTTTAAGCAGATGAGGGAGTGATCTCGGTTGGTGCAAAAAGGGAAGCATCCACGTGATGCCATGACGTGTAAGAACTTTAAAATTTGTGCCATATTCCATTGTCGAGGGCAATTAGGTGCATGCACTTTCCTAATCTCCGATGCTTGAGGTGAGGATCAAGTAAACGATATTGTAGCTCATATTTAGTGCTTCAATTATCCTGGCGGCAGTAAGCAACTTGTTTCTCTTTAAAACTAGTCGGGATTACGTCATTGGAGGTTTGCTCTTTCCTGTGTTTTTACTATCTACTGCAGGCGATTTGTTGCTGTTTTTGTTCAACGCGATATGAGTTTGTTTTTTTGGGAAGGGGAGAATCGGGGCCGTTTACTGCATCTGAGGTCATCTGCAAAAATTAAGGTCAATACTCTATTTCGGTTGAGACCTCGGATTGATCTCTTTCATTCTCTTGAGAATATGGCGTGTTTTTGGTAAATGCTCCAGATTCTGCTTGCTGTCCACGAGTTGAGGTGGCATGAGAAGTGGTACATTTCGATTCCTTGAGGCAATTTTGGATAGTAAGAAAGAGAACTCAAATTTGCTAACAGATGTAAGCACAGTTTCTTCTAATGCATGCTCTTTGCTCTCTGCTAGTTGCATCTAAAATAAACTGCATTTCGCAGGCTGTCAGTGCTTTTTTTTGCAGGCCTGAACAATTCTTTATGTGAGCTAACATTAAACGGACTAAAAACGGAGGATACGCGCCTCTTCTCACCCACTATGAGGGGACAAAGGTCTTGTGGGTTTGTGTGCGACGCTCTACTATGGAATTAATGTTACACGTTTTGGGTGTTACTGTTACCTATCAACTTAAGGACCACGAATAAAGGTTGCAAATTGCCTCGCACCTGATGAGCCAAGAAGCGGAACTAAACGTGGAAGTCGCGTGGGCGCGGAGTTTAATTTATCGGCCCGCGTATGTTAGTTGAGATGGTGTGAATTGGCATGAAACTGAATCTCCATTACATGACGTGATGTCTTTCAGTATGGCCTATTGTTGCCTTGCTTTAAGCTCATTATAAATGCAAGTTTTTTGCCTTTTTAAATCACATAAAACTCTAGAAGTCGGCACCTTTAGGTGGATTGGCATTTACGTGTCTTCACCTGGTAATTTGCATACACAGTGATTCGAATGCATAAAATTGACGTTAAATCATCTTTATCGGTCAAGGAATTCACACCTGTGGTTTACATTGTGCTTCAGAATCGTGTTTAATAGAATGCTCCGGCTCTACCAAAATGAGCTATGCAATGGGGTAGGGAGGAGCTCGGGGAAAGGCAGCTGAACATCTGTTCGGTGATTTATTATCCCCCCGTGCGACCCTGTGTGGTGAAGGTTTTGTTTTGAATAACTGCTGGTGTGAAGGAAACACCTTATAAATGTCCCATCTGATGTGAATTTGTGTTGTCTGATTGCGGCTGTCTTGTTTTCAGTCCCCAAATTTTGGGGTGTTGAGACTGGACCTCTAATTCGTTGGCGCTTTTGCTGTGCTGCTTCCGCCAAATTTTAACTCACCTGCATTACAAAAGCGTCGTATGGAGAACTGATTTTTATCCACCCTTTCGTTGGTTGGTTCGGGTAAGCTTTGAACCGCCTTGGCGAGTTCTCTTTTGACGCGAGAGTCCAGTCCGTGCTCATAAGTGGTGCATGAAAGGAAGAAGGGTGTTGTGAGATCAATTTCACTTCAATAATGGTTCGATTTTGTGGGAAGAAACTTGTGTTCATACAAGTTGGCACAGGACATAAGGACTTCTTAACGTGTGTTTTCCTCCTTGCTAATTCAATTTTGACACTACAATTGGGTGTGTGGGTGTTTCCATCCTGCTAATCTGTTGGATATAGAGCAGGTTACACCTATCCGATTGATTGTGCTCATCTGCTATTACTGAGCTGAGAGCATTGGACTTTAGAGTTCCTTTTGTCTTATCCATTCTCTACTAGGCGCTAAAAGCTTTACTCCGACCTTGACACACGTGACGTCTTGGGCTTTTCATCATCGTCTGATGAGGATATTATTGTCACTTTTCTCCTCATTTCAGGCTACCGGAATGGCTTTGACACAGCAACAGCAGCAGCGCCAGCAGCTGCTTGCACTCCAGGCGGCAGCTGTGGCTGCACAGCAACAGCAGCAGCAGCAACAACAACAACAGCAGTCTGCGACAGCTCCACAACCGGCCACGTCGCCCACGAGTCTCTCATCCGCAGTGCAACAGCAACTCGCTGCTGCCGCGCTTTACCAACAACAACAAATGCAGAGTCAGCAACAGCAACAGCAACACGCTGTCGCCTTGTTGTTTGCTGCTCAACAGTCCCGAATGCTTCGGCCCTCTTAGTTGAATCTTGCGACTCTCTATGGTCTTTCTCCTACGTGTACATATCATTGTGGTACTGTCTAGTAGAGCGGTTGTCCTCATTCGTTCCTTGTTTGTAGTTTGTGCATTATTACTATCATTATAGTGATGCGTCGTCTTGTCGGGATTGTCGCTCTTCAACTTAACCCAATCGCAGTGACGTTATGTATAATATTCTCTTGCGTTTTATGGCCAGATTGCGTGGGATACTTGTAGTAGATACAATACCGTTTATTCTCAATGCATAGAAATGGTACGATTTCCATTCAGTAGGGAGGTTGGGGTCCAGATGGACTGTTGGGGAGTGGCAGCGTTGGCGGAACTGTCGTTATTTTCAGTCGCTTCGCTGGCCATGCTGATGGCCTTTGGCTGTCCCGTCAGCCGATGCGCTTAGGGGCGCCAAGTGAGGTTTATCTGGTGATGTCCACTGGAAGATTGCGACACTCGAAAGGCGCTTCGGATGGTTTCTAGGCCTTGTCGTCATGGTTGACGGTCGCGGATATCGCCAAGTATCCGCCATATTCGCATTATAGTTAAGTCACAATCCTCCTGCTGACTTAGCTCTCCTACCAGGGTGGACTAGTGTTCGCTACTAATATTGTCTCCGGCTTTTTTGCCTCTACCCTACTCTGTGGTACAGGTGTCAGTTTCTAAGCATTAAGGGAGGAAATGATGGGATTACATTACTGTTGAGGGTCAGAGTTGATCAATTGCTGGATCGGAAGCTATAGTGGCGATGTGGAACCTGCTTGTAGAGTGTTGCAATTCATAAGAACAATCTGCTTAAGCGGTTTTGCTGCTCTGCTACTCTTCCCCAGTAATTAATCAAACTAGAAAAACAGGCAAAGTGCAGGCAGACTATTACTTTGCCAAATGACTTGGAAAAGCATGTTACGGTGCGAAAGTACGGCTGTTGGGAAGTTTAGTTGACCAGCTGTTAAGCGCATCACTAGGCTGTGGAAATTGATTTGATTTACTCTGTATGCTCAATCATATTTTCATAAAGGAGTCAACAGCAGAGCAGTCAGAGGTGTGTGTCTAATACTCCTTTTACTTTACACGGCTTTTCTCTTCACAATCACGGTATATTCTGAGCAGCAATACGCTCCATCCGCTTAAGGACCCCTATTGAGACTTTGTGCTCAAAACCACTCTCAAGGGTACTCATATCACGATTACATTTACCACTTGGAAGCACCGCGGCTACGCGTGTCTAAGTGCCAACACAGTCTAACACTTTCTTGTTCACCAACCAGTCAGTGGATCCCTGAACTAATCCCATTTAGACGTGTGTAACGCTTACGTGTGATTTTAGTAAATCATATGGGTGCCAAAAATTTTTAATTGTTTTGCTTTTCTTTTAGTGCTAAAAGCAGCGCATGTTTGTGAATAGTGCCTTGTATTTTATCTTCTCATGCTGTTTTTCTATAGTTCACTAAAATGCTAGTTTTTTAACGGTTCATTTTTCAGGGTCACCTTCCGACGCGGAGTCTACTTGGGGAATGGTCGCTTGTGTCTTTGTTGTGGTCGTCAAATTTTAGCCGTGAGTTTAACCCTCACTTATTTTGTCACTCATTTTGTAACATGTTGAGTGGCAGATCTCGGTGTACAAAGTTGTCTCAAAATTGTTACGTTGTTACTGTTTCATATGAACTCCTTTAACGCGATTTTGTGTCGATTATTGTCCGCTTTACAAGTTATGGACCTCCATCTGTTTTTCAATGCTTTCTTAGTTGTTTGTTCTTTGTTTAAAGCTGCTGCTACTTGTCCTGGCTTTGGTGTAGTGATTCCTTCTACATTTCCTTCAAATCATTGATTTCGATATAAACGCATTAGCCTCGGACTTATGGTAGCGAGGATGGTACCCACCTTCATGCGCAGATATTTGAATTGGAATTGTGAATTGTAACTTCCTTTCAGGTGCATTTTACACGAAGTCTTAAGGGTTTTGTAGGTAGGTAATAAGCCCCAACTTATCGTGGTCGTTTTATAGGATACTGGCTGCCGGGTTTGCGAAGTTCTGGCATCCCGGGCTTGATTTCCTTTCTTTTGTTCGACCTCTTTTATTCAATCGAAATATCCGCACTCATCTTCTCTAGCGACGATCATGTTTCATCGCTCTAATTTTTCGTTACATCTACAGTCTTGCTGACTTTCCCATATCTTTTTAGTGCTGAAGTCCTTTGCATTCAACAGTGTCACCGATATTTCACACACATTTACTTTTGAATGCAGTTCTCCGTTTTCCATAGAGAATCCTTGCTTATTCATCCTAATTTAATGGAAAGTATGCGTCATTTTAACAATACCCGGCGATCTAATTAAATAATTTCAAGGTATTTTATTGCTGTGGGGACCTGAATTTAATCATGATGTTTTACTTTAATTGATTATAAAGTGCGTTAAACCCGGTACGTCGCCTCCTTTCCTGCGTAAGGCGATGCAGTTAACCCTTCATTATGCACATCTTTGTTTGTTGGAAAAGGGAGCTGTTATGAGCTTTTCCATGTTGCTTTTCTCATTATTTAATAAAATTTTCGATGCGATTATCTCCTTCAAACTTATCTCTGCTACTTAGCTTAATATCCTCAAAGTCAGTTGGCTAATGCTGCCTTCTTGAGTCTATTTTTAACCCTTTCCGTGAACTTCATTTATTCCTGAACCAGTGTATTTGGTCGTAGCTATCTGGCTAAGCGGACACCCAGATTCTCACGTCTGTTTTTTTATGTCTCTGTTTCACCGTTAAATAAACCGTCCAGGGTTCGTTTTTGTGTTTCAGTCAACCGCCACAAAATCTTTTATTTACGTTTCACAGTCCTGTTTTTTTTCTTTCTGCATTCCCAGATCAGGGCTCCAATAACTTAAGCCTTTGACTCTGCATTTATAATGAAGTTGGTTCATGCATTATTTAACATTTCTCCTTGCAATACGCCCCGAACGGCGTTGATCTATCCAAAACTCTTATCAATCACTTCGTTTGCCCCTATTTATCGTTTTTGGGGAATCGCACATTTAAATACTGTTTCCGGTAAATGGAGCAACTCATTATCCCGACATTTAATTTTTCTCCCGTGTATTCCTCTTCCTGTGCGAATTGGCAAGAATTTGTTGTTGTTGCTGCTGTCGTTGTTGGTGGTGTTGTTGTTGAGGGACAAAGTTTGTCATTGTCTTTCCGTATCACATCTCTTTCATCTTTCCATTTTCGCTCATAACTTACTTGGATCCCTTTTGTTTCCTCATTCAACCTCACGTAAGGCATTTGCAACCACCTAACCGAGCACCTTTGAACTCCTACTTCCTTGTCCATTTATTCATTTATTTCTTTTCCTCTTCATCAATAGATTCATCCGTGTAGATTTTGCATAAATGAGAGAAAGATTTATCCAAATTTGTTTCGGGATTGCTTTGGGGCTCTAGGGAATTTGGATGGTCCTTACGTTCTACTTGATGTTATCTGACGGATATTCGTAACAAATACATTCATCGAGTTGTTTTTTTGTTGCCATGACTTCGCACAAATTTTACTTCTGCTACAAATTTAGTTATTCAAAGTAGCATCTGTTTGTTATTTGCATTCTCCATCCACAGTTAGGATTCCTCTCTCTTCCTTTTGTGCTTCTCACTGAACTCCATGCTACCACTCTGCTAGCCTTTTATGACTGGGTTAATCTGCACCTATTTTGAATGTTTACTTTTTGATCTAAACTTGTAAGTCTCCATGCAGTACTATCCTAGTGAATGTCCTTCAGACAAGTAGGCTTATTTTTGTCTCACTGGGATTGCCTGTGTTTATGGGTTCTTTTTAGATTGATCCAGACCATACGAGTCTATAAGTAGATAAACAAGAAGAAACTACCCTACTGATCTTGGTCTCTCACCAGCGTAGTCAGATGACAGAGAAGACTGTTTCTCCAGTTCCCTGTCTTCGCTCTCACGACCTCTCACGTTTTCAACCACCTTTAAAAGATCAAGTACCAGGAGATGAGGAGATTTTGCGTCTGGTTCAGCAAATGCCAACTTTTCTCTATCCCTATGAAAGAACAGAGGCAGAGGAGGCGGAAGAAGGAGAGGAGGTAACGACGGCAGTCGCAACAAAGAAGGTGGGATGCAAGTCCTCGTTCCGTCTTGTCGTTCCGCCCGACGTGGATCCTCTCTCTGCGGCTCCCTTGGACCCCTTGTGGTTTGTCAATATCGTCGTCACTGTCACAGATAGAAATGGCTGTGTCATCTACCATGAGGCGTGAGTTTGCTTATTCATTCGTACGATTGTTAATTGGCTTTAGGAGGTACAAAGTTTTAAGTGTTCTCTATGGTCGATAAATAATGGGAATGGTTCACAAACTCAGCTGATTTGGACAATTTGTGCCTTTGACTTGCGTGATCGGTATTTCTTCTGAACTTGGGTCCAACCACTGCTAGTAAGTATACAACCCCGGATTACGTCGAGCAGATGCGAATATGGTAGCATTTGATCTGCTATCTGGACTGTCTGTCATGCTCTGGGACTCATTGCAAATTTTTGAGTATGGTTTAGATACTAATCCAAAGCCGCGTTGAATCCTCCTGAGGATTGAAACTGTTGTCAAACATTGTTGGAATGACTTTAATGGGTTTTTTTTTGCTGCTGTTTTGAGTTAGCCATCTTGGGGTTTTCATTTGGAGGCAATACTAGCATTGGGTCTACCGATGACTTAATTTAACCATCCTAATTATGTTAGGTATAAATTAGTATATTGAGGATAAGTAACTGTTTTAAGCAAACCATCCAAGTTCCTAAAGGCCTGGACACCGTGATA